AGGTTCTGCCAACCACAATGTAGGAGCCTCCAGTATGAAGGACCGACTGTGTAAACAAACCCAAGAAATGCTTAATTCTTAGAGACCATAGGTAACCTCCTCGGGCTTTGCGAGATGGTGGCATTGTTGCAAAACAGTTTATCACTGTGATAGGAAAGGGAGCTTCTGTTCTCTTCCCCTACCGTTTCACAGCACCCTTCGGGGGAAACCAAGAAACAAAAGAATATTCAGTTTACAATTCTTCAGTTTTAGCATCTTCATCTCAACAGGTTCCAGGACAGTAGTAAGATGATAACTTTAACTCGGAGACCTGGTTTTTTTTTCTAAAAATGGAACTGATATACAAATATATCTCTATCAATTTTTTTTGTGGATGAAAAGGACAGATACATCCTTAGGAAGGAAACCCTAAATATGATCAAAACTGTTTTCTATGTAGTCTCTTTGCTATCTGAAATTATGTAAGGAATGAAGTACATTATCTTAATAAGATCTATTTTCCTAACTGTATTGAGATATCATTGAGAAAAAATTGTGTAACTTTAAGGTATAAAACCCAATGATTTGCTATAGATATGTTTCGCAAAGCGAGTACCACAATAAGGTTAGTTAACACTTCCATCACCTCGGTTACCAGTAATCAGATCTAATTTTTACATTTTTGCTACATGCATGATATATAGAACTATATGGAAAGAGATATGAGGTCATGACCAACAAAGTGTATGATATTGTGATACGCTCACTCTAGACCTTATGGAGTGCAGGACATCTGGGAGGTCAAGTTTTAACATTTGCAAAACGCCTCTCCTTCTGAAAAGTACATTTATTCTTTTCTTGCTTTCTTTCTCTGTTCTCATCACCACTATAAGGTAAGGCCCAAGAGGCGGAAATCCATTCCCAGATTTCCTAACAAAACTTTCAAAGAAGGTAGGAGTGAAAATGAGAATAACAGCTCAATGACATTTTTGACATTGTAATTTTACATTCATCATCATAGGCCCCTCCCCAACCCCATCACTGTGCCCTGCCCACCTCTTTTTTAATCAGTGGTTCCCTGGCCTCCCACAATTATTCACACAGCCCTGCTGAATAATTTTCTTCCCCCTGCTTGGTATAACAACAAAGCTCAGAAGCAGGAAGGAATGCCACTTACAGGCAGGTCAGACAGTGATGTAATTAACAGATCAAGGAGAAATGTTATTTCAGAAAGCCCCATGGAGCAAGAGACGGGCTGATTTCCTGGGTCATGACATTACCAGGAAACTACAGTTACTAAAGAATGAATATCTAAACCCAAATATTTTCTTCAAATGCATAAAAGGTTGTATAAATATTACTCTCTCCTGTGAAAATTATGTTTTATAGAGACATTTTATAAATACAAATTTAAAACCAGTTTGGGGAAAGAACTCTTCCATCTCACACTAAGTTAGGTGCAGGGGTATGTATTCTTGTATGTCTCTGCCAAATCAATTTCTCAAGGAATAAAATGCAGGAAAATACAAAATGCAGGAAATAAGGTCAACCCACAAAGAATCGAATTCCACACAAGGAATGTGGGTGTCAAGGTGATTAAACATAGTCCCCAGTTATTAACAGTAAACTAGTTGAGAAGGTTGTCATCAGAGAGCTTCATATAATCATACACAGGGTTTATAACTTCAGCCACAAGTCCAACAAAAAAAGAAATGAGATGGTCTTGTTCTACCTTCCCAAGAAAAACAAAGAACCAGTTGACTGGAGGGCTGAGACTCAAACTCATGATTGCAGAGGAATGAGAAACCAATGAGACACAGCTTTCAAAGCATGTTCTTTGATACCACAAGCCATACAGTCAGAAATATCCCCAGCTATGAACAAGAGAAGTGTATTTTACTTAGATCGTTGTGCTTTCAATCTCAGGGAGGGATTCAGTCACAGATGAGAATTTTCTCACTCCATGCTGCAAAAGTATTGACCACTTTCACTCTCTTTTACAGCTTCCCATTTTTTAATAACTACTGTAGCACAATGCATTCGATTTAGAAGTACTCATAGACCAAGTAAATAATAAATGCCAATGACAATAGAAACAAAACATTAGTACAAGACCTCCCACATAGGCCTAAAAGTCACAAAACAAATTAAAAATTAAAATAATTAAATAAATTAACTTAGGTGCGCCTATGCCTCTTCAAATTACTTAACCCTCAGGTGACATCAGGGAAACATCAAAAAGAAAAGACATGATTGAGATGACAAACTTCAAAGTATTTTTCACTCTCAGGTAAAACAACATGAATTAAAAATTACCATTCTGGTCCAAAGTAACTCCCAAGCCTATGCAAATTCCTTCAAGACAGAGGTTATATCATATGCATCTTTGTGTCCTCAGCTTCCAGTCCCTCAATACCACAGAAGATAACTTCTCTAATGTATATGGAGGAGAGAATATATTCAGGGCCTGATTCTCATCTGTAGTCACTTCCAGCAACTCAAAAACTTAAAAATACTGATAATCTGTTGTATCAAAGGTGCTTCAGTAAGTCAAGACAGGCATCCCTGGAAAAGTCTCAGTACTCAGGAGCGGTGGCTACCGATACCTACTCCCCAAGCTCAGCTTGGCCAAGTTCCCATCTCCAAAGCAATCAGTTGCACAAAGTAGGTTTAGGCCCCAAACTGTCTGGACTTTGCTCCTCCAGTAACATCTGGGTTCCACAGGACTCCTGACCTCTACCTCAAACTAGAGATTTCAAACATTAAGAACTTCACTCAACAAGAAAGTAGAATCATAAATCAATCCAGGAGAAACACAGAAGCCAAGACTAGTAGAAACAGTACAGAGGAATCATTCTGGTGTCCTTAAAAATGGTCCTGAAAGTGTGTTAGTCGCTCAGTCGGGTCTGACTCTTTGCGACCCCATAGACTGTAGCCCACCAGGCTTCTCTATCCATGGAATTCTCTAGGCAAGTATACTAGAATGAGTTGCCATTCCCTTCTCCAGGGGATCTTCCTGACCCAGGAATCAAACACGGGTCTCCTGCATTGCAGGGAGATTCTTTACCATCTGAGCCACTCTGAAACAACTTTTCAAAAAGGAAAACTTAAATATAAATATAAATTTATCAGATTAAAAGTATTTGGATTATGGAGAGAAAAGACAGCTTCCAGAAACCTCGATGGCCTTACTCTACAGCTAAAATAAACTTTTCTTCTTCCTGATAGAGCATACTTTGCTCTCTGCTCCAGGGTTTGGCTCTGAAAACCTGGATCATAATCTGGGAGACCCAAAAACTAATTATTATGTTTAAAAAAAGACATCTCTTAAGCTGACCTAGTTTGGAAGCCTGGATGCCTTTAAATTGCCAATGAACTGAAACCATTCATGAGAATGGGGCTTTTGAATGCTGAGAATGTTCTTTGGGGCTCAGCACAAAGATATTTGGCATAGATGACTGTAAATATTTGTAAAACTCTGGGTAAATGGACAGTGTTTGACCACACTCAAACCTCATGTCCAGCACAGTACTGTAGAAGCAAGTTATCTGGGGTGATTGGTTTGGAGGGGGAGGGGTTGGTTGAGGGACTTTTTTTTTTTTTCTGTTTGTTTTAAATTAAAAAAAGCCAAGCAATTCAATTCTGCTACAGGACATCTTTTTACATTTTCCATACCTTGAATTTGTTTACTCATCAAGACAGTTCCAATTAGTCAATGGCTCCTTTTGGAACAATTTATTTTCTTTCCCACTTTTCTAACTTCATGCCCATCACAAAGAATAAAATCCCAGTCACAGGGATGCAAAAGGAAGGCGGGAGTTTTATGAAAATGTGGCCTTGGAGTTCCTAATACAATTCTCTCCACGTGGCCTTGTGGATGGCTATGGATATTTTCTTCCTCCTTCTCTCTCCTCCTCAAGATATCTTCAGAAATACCTAAGGGACTGCTACCCATGAAAAGGACTGTGGCTGAAAACGGAGGACAGAGTTAAGGAGAAGGAGGGACCAACAGAAGAATTAGATGTAAAAGGGACTGGGGGCCAAGAGGCTCATCTCAGTGAAAGCTGCAGCAGTCTGATCCTTTAGCCAGCAACTCACTGAAGACTGGCTTGGGTTCCTTTTGCCTCTTTATCCGCGCCCTAAAAACTGAGTCATGGCAAGGTTCATTTATTTTGCTTTGGGGCCTATACACCCCCAATTGGCTGCTTCAGAAATGTTAGATACATTGTTCTTTAATTCATACCTGGCAACATTCAAATAAACCTCCAGAAATGCCAAATCAGACGAACACTGCTAGCCTTACTGCCAGCCTCAGCTAATATTTTGATATACATGCAACAGAAAGAAAGAAAAAAGTGAGACTGTTGTGCAAGTATGAAGAGAGAACATATTGCCAGAAAGGGGAAATCATTTCTGAGAAATCTAAATGTGAGAAGTACATTCAAGAGTAGACTTACAACAGAATCTCAAACTCCTTGTATGAAAAACAGCTAAAGATAGGGGTCAGCTAAAGATATCTTTTCTCCACTGATAGAGGGATCAGTTTCATTTTAACTTCAACTTGAGAACAGCAGTGGAAGATCAAAATTTCACCCTGTTTTATCAGCAATTACACAACAAAATAATCAGCGGAATGTATGACCAAGATTCCACAGATAACATCTTATCCATATGGAGGTAGGTCAACCTACTGCCATGCATTCCCAAACAGCAGAAGGTAAGTATCTGAGATTCTGCCAACTCTGGTCTCCAGCTGAAGACATCGGGAGGTCTGCTCTAATCTTGAATTTTACAATACATTCTGCAGAGACTAGTTTTACAATAAATTAAGCTCGTTCCTTTTTGTCTGTAAACGGAGAGCTAGTTTTGTAAAGTTCACAGGTGTTTCAGGCATTCAGAATGAATCCGATTCTGCATGGTTTCAGCACGAAAGGCAGAAAATAAAGCTAAACAACCCAGATAGCAGAGTGAGTCTCCCACCCCTTTTTCTTTTCTTAGTCCAACCCCACCGCTGTCTTGCAATGCCTGCAGCACTTAAAAAGCTGCCTAAACCTACCTGGCAGGAGAGCTCCGTTCCTCCCGGCCGCCGTCGGGCTTCTCAGCAGCCTCCCTCGCGCGCACCGCCAGCCGGGGTCGGTGGCACCCGGGAGAAGAACGGCTGTTCCATGCCCTCCGTCTTCCTCCCTGCTCTGCGGCTGACAGCTTTGCGCTCTGCAGGATTGCAACAGGGCTCGGGCTCCCAGACCGATCGGGCAGGAGAGGGAGGAGGCGTCCCTCGAACCGCCTCCTGCCTCGGGGCGCAGCTGCGCTGCCAGGGGAACCTCGCAGAGCTCGGGGCGCAGCACCGCCAGCAGCAGCAGCAGCAGCGAAGGGAGCCGTGCGCTTATTTATACAGGAAGCTCAGGCGCGCACTTCCTACTTCCCATCTGGGTCTCACTTCAGCTGCAGGTGATGGTCTTAACCCTGTCCGAACCCGGCGGCCCGCGCGCCGCAGCAGTCCGGCCCTCCTGCGCTCGCTCCGCTTAGCAAGACCTCTCTCTTGTCCTCCTGGGACGCCCGCTGCAGACAGCCGGGGCAGGGAGGCCAGCATCATCAGCCGCTGGCGTCCTTCCTTCCGCCCGGACCGGGACACTTCTTCACCTAAGTGGCTTTCAGAACTCGCTTCTTCTCCTCCGCACGTGTCCTCCCGGGACACCTGTCTTTCCCCTCCCTCCCAGCCCTCCCAGCCCTCCCAGTCTCGTTTCTACTTCTAACGACCCAGACCCGCCTTCCCACCCTGCAGGAACACTTGCTTCTGTAGAGCCAGTCCCCATGCGCGTCTCATCTAAAAACACCGTGTACCTGATTTGTCCTTTAGCATCTAATGATAAAATTAGAACGCAGGCAAATCAAATCAGGACAGTCTTCATGGACCTCCTGTAACACAAGCACACTTTTAGAAGGAAAAAAAAAACTGATTTTGCCGGAAGTGCTTTACCAACAAATTACGTAGGCCCTGCTTAGTAACCTAACAGGTATTACTCCAGCTAAAGACAATGTAATCCTGAAGCTGCGGGGGTGGGGTGGGGGAGGTCTTATGAGGTCTTCTTCACTCCAAAACCTCAGTGCGACGTCTCTAACAGGTAACCTGCCGACTCACTCCCCACACCCCCAAGGGTCTCCATCGACTCTGTCCAACGTCGCGGTTCAGAAATGTCCCTGCCCGGACAGGGGAACCTGTGTGCGCTCACTCGGCACCCTCACTCGACGTTTGCAACCACAGTCAGGAATGTGCTTCCTCAAAGGAAGGGACTCGCAGCCCTTGGTGGAAGGAATACTGAGCCTGCCAGTGAAGGATCGGCAGTCGGCGCGGTGCCAAAGGACACAAGCAAACGGCCTCTGGGCTCTCCATGTTGAAGCAAACCTTGAGGTCAAAGCCAAGTGCGGAAGAACAGTGTATCTCTGTGTATGATGGCCGGCAGACAGGAGGGCCAGTTTTGTTTTTGTTTGAGTGACTGAAAACAACGGAACATTATTCTCCTACAGTTCTTGAGCCCAGAAGTCCAAACTCAGGGTGTCAGCAGGGTTGGTTGCTTCTGGTGGCCGTGAGGGAAAATCTTTGTCTCTCCCCTAGCCTCTGATAGTTGCTAGCAGTCTTTGGTCTCCTTAGGCTTGTGGCTGCATCAGTTCACTGATGCCTCCATCATCACATGGAGCCATCACATGGCTTTTTCCCTTGTGGCTCTCTTACTTTTTTTCTTATAAAGACGCTAGTCATGGGATCCAGGGCCTGTCATAATCCAGTATGACCTCATCTTCATTTGATTACAAACTAAGACCCTATTTTTCAAACAAAGTCACATTCTTAGGTAATGATAAGAATTTTAGGGGATACTATTCAATCCAGCACAGTACAGTATGTAATAGAAAACTTTAGATTTAAAGGATAATTCATTTGAAAAAGCTCGTTTCACAAAAGCAGTTTTTTTTTTATAGGTTTTCGAGGTTGATAAACATCTCTTTTCATGGGCTTCCACTTAAAACCATTATCAGAGTTCTAAATGGCAGGTTATGACCAGTAGTTTTTGAAATGATTTTCAAGTACTGTTATGTAGGGGTGTGTGTGTGTGTGTGTGTGTGCGTGCCTCAGTTGCTCAGTTGTGAGAAGGACCAATCTTCTAGTGGGGGAGAAGGGAAGGAGACAAGGGAGATAAGATGGTAAGAGAATATACAGCAGGGTCTCAAAAAATACAACTGAAGGATATTTGAGCTTGAAAAGTCCTTCTAGCTAGTTTAGTCCAGGCATTTAGCTTTAAAGATGAGGAAACTAATGTCCAGGGAGATTTAAGTGGTCGACTTCAACCAGGTATGGGCAGAGCTGGAATGAGACCTAAATCTGTGTTTAGATGAAAAAGGTATTTGTTAATGAAAACTGCCCCACAGGTGTCTAACTTCAACTTTAGCATTTACCAGTGTAAATGCTTTAGCAGACTCCAGATAGCCAAAACAATTTTGTAAAAGAACTATGCTGGAGGAAATCACATCTCCTGATTTCAAACTATATTACAAAGTAATAGTAATCAAAACTCTTTCAGATCTGTCTATCACAGGTTCTGGAATAATCAATCTCAAGGTATTTTCCTGGTGTGGTGAACATTATTGATGGACAGGAATCAGGAAAGATAAACAAAGCACCTTTTAAGAGGTCACTTTATTTCATTAATGCCAGTACAAAACTTTGGTGCCTTAAACCAAAGTTGAATACAGAGTCCACTTTTTCAGTTACCATGCAATTAAGCTATAATCTCTTGTCAACAGGATAAGGGAAGGAGCTGCTGCTAATATGAATGAAAACATAAGTTAAGCAATAATCATGCTATCTGCCCCTGCAAGTGGCAGATGGGAAGAAAAAATATATTGTGTAATTAAATAATATCAGCATTGATTATTTTCAAGTTTATAAAATCTGCATTCAACTTTCAATAGGACTAAATGAACATGTGGAACACTATAGTATTATGTAAACAACTCTTTCAGATCTGGTATAAAATATCTAAGAACAAATGTAACCAAGGAGGTGAAAGGTCTATATACTGAAACCACAAGACACTGATAAAAGAAATTGAAGAAGACAAAAATAAGTAGAAAGACATTCCATGCTCATGGACTGGAAGAATTTATATTGTTAGGATGTCCATCCTACCCAAAGCAGTCTACAAATTCAATGCAATACTATCAAAATTTCAATGGCATTTTTTCACAGAAATAGGACAAACAATCCCAAAATTTGTATGGGACCACAAAAGACCACAGATAGCCAAAGCAATTTTGTGAAAGAACAGAGCTGGAGAAATCACATCTCCTGATTCCAAACTATATGACAAAGTTACAGTAATCAAAAGTCTTTCAGAAATGCCTCATGAATCCACAGTGTGCCCCAGCTTCTCAAGCATGTATTGATCTCCTCCCAGACAAGCAGTGGATGCTAGGAAGATAGACATAAGTTGGACATGGGCCCTGTTCTCCAAGAGCTTTCAATCCAAAGAAGGAGTCAGACAAGCAAATCAATTATCAGGGTACCATGGTGGGTATGGACGTGATGTGAGAGACTTAAACATAATGTGCTTTGGGAGCACAGAGAAGAAATGAACTAAAGGAGAGGGGCTGGTGAAAAGAATCAAGGGAGATTTCCCTGAGAACAGGACTTAAAGCTGACACTTCAAGTAGCCAAGTGGAGAAGGTGGGAAAAGATGAACCAGTCAGAGGCACGAGCCAGTGGAAATGCTTAGAGCTGTCAGACTTCAGATGATGCGTTTCGTAATTCAGACAGAGCAGATGAGGGCAGAATTAAAAGAGTGAGGGCTTGAACTAACGTAGTGGCAAATGGCATGGAGAAGAAAGAACAAATGGAGGCAGATCTCAGAAACAGAAGTGAATGGGACCTGATACCTGATCGGATGTAGGGGATGAGGGAGAAAGAAGAACCCAGGCTGCTGGTACCACAAACTGAGAGTAAGAATAAAGGAGGAGCAGCCACGAAGGGTGGCTTTCCTTAAGCCATCATTAAGAAAAATGATTCAAAACCTGTAGAATCCGAGGTGTCTCTAGGACATATGGAAGACTTGTCCAGTAAGCTGTCAACAGAGATCCGGAGTAGAGAGTCTTTCAGGAATGACCATCATTTAGGTGGTGACCACAGATGAGATTAACAAGAGCTGAGATCACCCACAAAAGGCAGCACGCTGCAGAGCGACAGAGGGAATTTCCACACATACACAACCTATCGCCCACTCATTATTACGTAACCTTAAACAAGCTATTTAACATATTCAAAATTCTGTCGTGTCCAACTCTTTGTGACCCCATGGGCTATACAGTCCATGGAATTCTCCCGGCCAGAATGCTGGAGTGGATAGCCTTTCTCTTCTCCAGGGGATCTTCCCAACCTAGGTCTCTGCACTGCAGACAGATTCTTTACCAGCTGAGCCACAAGGAAAGCCCAAGAATACTGGAGTGGGGAGCCTATCCCTTCTCCGGCAGATCTTCCTGACCCAGGAATCGAACCGGGGCCTCCTGCATTGCAGGTGTATTCTTTACCAACTGAGCTATGAGGGAAGCCCTCAGACGAGTTATTTAACATATTCAAAACTCAGTTTGTTCATGCATAAGAGAGGAATGATGATACTCGTCTCACAGGTTGTGGTGAGGTTCAGTGAGAGGTTTGTAAAGTAGCTAGCACAGGGTCTGATGGCATTATATGAGTCTTGAAGGTGGGGTAGTGAATGTCACTTCCTGGAACTGTGCGGTACCCTAACCCTAACCTGCTCATCTGTACAGCATGGCCCTGCCCTGATACACAACAGGAATTCACTCTGTGTTGTTAAGTGTTATTAATCTTAGAAGGAAGGAGAAAGGAGAGAAAAAAAGAAAAAATTCAGTAAAGAGAACCCCCAGAAACACCAGTATTTATAAGGTAGGTAAAAGAAGAGTCCTCATATAAACCTAAGAAGGAACTGCTTATTTTAGACTACAAAAGTAGATGTAACATGTGATATCTCAGACTGAGAAGTAAAATCCAGTCACTGCAATCTACAAAAACACTTTTTATCTTTCTGAGCAATGATAAACATAATACTATAAATTGTTCACCAGAGTTTGCAGTCATACTGACCTTCACCACAATAGAGAATTTCCTAATCTGAATTACAGACTTTCCTATGTTGTTGTTGTTGTTTGGTTGCTAGGTCATGTCTGACTCTTTGTGACCCCAGGCGAACAAAATCTTGACATTAATGGCAAGTAATCCAAACTGTAGGAATTGTATTAACTTGTAACATACCTAAAGTCATGTAAAAGCAAGACCAAAATAAATCTAAAGCATACTTAGCCAAAAAAACAAATATAGAAATATATATATTTGATTACTAGATACATATAAGATACTTGTATAAAACATATTATATAATGTGTAATATGTAACATTATATATATACATATACACAAACACACATAAAACACACACTCTAGTCCTACATAATAAGGAAATCAACAAATGGATTTTCCTTTTAGAAAATTCATTAAAGAAAAATTAGAATCATTCTGATGCTACTGAAATTACTCCTCTCACCTACTTTACTGTTAGTAATACCTGCCTTAACATCCTGATTACATGCTGCATTAAAGCTTTTTTTTCCTAATTTATTTTTTATTGAAGGATAATTGCTTTACAGAATTTTGTTGTTTTCTGTCAAACCTCAACATGAATCAGCCATAG